CCCTCTTACAGGAGCTCTTTGCTAACTCCTTACCCCAGTTGTTAGTAGCCTTACTCATTCCCCTAAATTAGTTTGTATATATTTAGTATATATTTTGTATTGGCATATTTGAGCACATGTTGCTGTATTTCTATCTAGTATAATGCTTGTCTCTTAAACAGGGACTTATTAAATGCTTGCTGAATCAATGAAGAAAAGAAAGTTTGTTAATGATGGCAAGGGGTTTCAAAAACAAACAAACAAAAACATGTGCAGAAGCTGTCCTCAAGGGCGAATCAAGATTTGGGGGCAATAAGGTTGGAGTGAACAGAAAAGAGAGTAGGAAAAGAGCTATCAGGGGAAGATTTGAAAGTTTAGTTATAGGAAGAGGTCAGCTGAGGAGTCAGATATGGTTAATGGGGAAAATTGTAGTTGCTGACCTTTCTTACTCCAAATCTATGTTCCTATGAGCCCTGATGATTTAAAAAATTGACTTTTCACACTGCACACTCTCTTTGATGGGCTTACTATATACCTAGCACTGGACTAGATGTCAGAGATGTTCAAAAGTATAAAGCATCTCAAGGACACCTGAACACATTAATGATTTCATTGGGGAGATAGGAAACAAATGATTGAAACAGTTAACTACAATACAAAGTAGTATATGGTAAGTGCTAGAATAGTTGAGTACAGACTGTAAATGTTAGAGGACTTTATAGATATATACTTTGGCCAGGACTACTAAGAAGAAAGAACTTCTTTGTTTCTTTGACTTGTTATATTTAGGAACACTCTCCATTTTTCAGTCCTATCTCCAGCATCATGTGCCATATATCTTCTATTAATGAATTTCTAGTAGGAACCACTGAGCTCAGAATATAGTGAAATCGATGTGACTGACTGTGAATGATGCATGAAGGCTCTGATTCTATGCAGTTTGCATCTTGTAACATGCAGACCCACAATATCTAGCTCAGTTATATGAAAGAAAACGCTCACCAAGTACTGGAAAAAGAAGACAAAATGTGATTCATCTTTTGGTGCTTCAGGAATAGGGATTTGGGGTTTTGCTATTGACTACCACTAATTTGATCCATCTGGCTAAGTTGCTGTTTTAAGGTAAGGAAAGCACTATCTCCAGCCCTTCTGTAAACATATTGGTTTCTATTTTTCTTATCATTCTGTAGTTTTGTTTTTTTTTATCATGAATAGCACATGGATTTTTAAAAACAATATTTTATTGATATCTATTGTCTTTACATCACCTTTATATAGTCAAGGTGCTAGAGTCAGCTCCTACAGGCTCGTGTGAGATCTGATTGTTAAATTTTCAGTGGCAGCAGTTAAACCTCAGAAATCAGCAAACACTACAAATCAGGGCTTAGTTTATTGTTTTGTTGATTATCTAGATTTAAGAAAGTGATGAAGAAAATGTTAATGATGGAGATTAGGCTTAACAATATGCTATGCATATTTTTTCTCCTTGCAGAATCATTTGTTAAATATTTGTCATCATACCAGTGCCTATATTTCCCACTGTATCCTTTCACCCTTTCTAGAGAATCATCCTTTATAATGAAGAATAAAAGGGGGGTAAGAAGGGCAGAAAATCCTAGCCGTGGGCCCAGTCCATTATCTTACTTAGATACAAATGCCTTGGATTTACAGTCAGGCCTTAGTTGTCTAATTGGTATGGTGTAAGAGGTATAATATAAGAGACTGCCTTTCCTCATGCCCTGAATGGATTAAGGTAATGATCCACCTAGGATAATGAAGAAGCCTCTTTGATTACTTCAGTTAATAGAAGTATCACTTTTGTTCACCTTTGACCAGCTGGGAAAGAAAAATTTTGAAGGGGAAGATCAAAGAAGAATTGAAGTGTTTAGGGGAAGTGATTGGCTGAGGGTGTGGCAAAAGGTTTAGGTGGCTATTGCTTGATTTGAGGAAGCAAGCTATTAAGTCAGCTGCTACCCAAAATGGGAACTCTTCCTCTGTCTTAACCGTGAAGTATTTCTTTATTCAACAGTCTGAGAAATTGTCTTCAAAATGACTGTGCTTGAGATTTTCAGAGTCATGAGGTGGCTTTGTCCATCTTTGGTTCTCTCTAAGCAGAAATGCTTATATTAAAGTAATTTTAAAGTAACAAAAATTGTTTCTGACATATTTATGCCTACGATGCAGGTTACAGATTTTTCTTTTACCTGCCTATTCTTTCCACTAAAACATTCTGGCCTCAGTTATCTTGTCTCCAATATGAGGAGATTGAAACAGATAATCTCTAAGATTCCTTCTAGTTCTAAATCTATAAGTATCAAGTCTCCAAGCTATAAGTCTCAAGGACTGGGGGAGGAGAGAAGAAGAAAGGTCAGTGAGAGATTTCCAAAGAGACATTATATGAACCTTGTCAGTCATTGTCTGTACATGTCAGCCTACTCAACATACTTTAGCCAATTTAACTCGTTGGCTACCATAACAGACTTTTTTGTACGACCTTCCCTGTACCCATAAATCTTCGATATTTTTAGTCCTATGAGCTACTCTGTTTCTCTTTTTGATCTCAACTTATTGTCACTTTGGGAAGAATCTTGTAAATTAATTCACATCAAAACATTAATTAGGAACCTTTGTGGTTTTAGCAGCCGGGTGGCTCATGAGGTAGAGTGCTATGCCTGTAGCCACAAAGACCTGAGGTTCAAATCTGGCTTCAGACTCTTACAGACACTAGGCAAGTCACAATCTCTGTTTGTCTCAGTTTCCTCAATAGTAAAATAGGAATAATAATAGCACCTACTTCACAGGGTTGTTGTGATGATCAAATGAGATAGTATTTGTAAAGCACTTAGCAGAGTATGTAGTTGCTTAATAAATGCTTGTTCCCTTCTCTCCTCTTTCAGATTAAGAAGGATCAGTGTGAATATCCTAAAGGCATGAAACCCATATAGTCTAAAATTTAAAGGTCAATAAGACATGGGATAAGAGATTATTTTAAACTGAAAGTCTTTTCCTGGTCCTTCTTAAACCATAACACATGAACAGGGGGCTTAGTGGAAAGAGAGCTGGCCTCAAATCCAGAAAGAACTGGGTTCAAGTCTCCACTCTGACGCGTACTGGTTGTGTGACTGTGGGAAAGTCACTTAACTTGTTAGTGCTCTAAGCTGCTCTCCAGGGCTATGAGTTTCAGGGAAGACACCAACCTGTATTGATAGAGTGAGTTTCCTCATCAAGAATGCTCTGTATCAATGAAAACACAAGTTTTGTCCCTATTTCTTTGAAACTCAAATTAAGTATCAGTAACAGCTTTGAGGGGAGATAGTTGTGGACTGAAGGGGCTTCTTGGCACCCCTTAAATCATACCACATGAGCAATCATTTAACTGATTTCATCTCTGCACAGACCTGACCCTCCTACATGTTGCTCCTTTTAAGCCAAACTGTCACACAAATAGTGGGATCCCCTATTAGCTTCAAAAAGGAAGGGGGAGAGACTTGCGGAGTAAGTGACTATGATAAAATCAGATTCTCCTGGAACCTCAGGATAAAATGGGCTTAGAAACCCTTGTACTTGTATTTTCCTGATGGGGTTGGGATCTGGGCCCCAGAAAGGAAAATCCCTGGACTTTCCCACATGGCTAAATCCCTGGCATTCCCCTGAGGCTAGAATCCCATCAACTGGCCTTTCCTTGAGGACCTCCCTATGGCCCCAGGCCACTTCTCCACTCTCTTGGCAGTGTGGACCAGCTCCCTGAAGTGGAGACTTGAACCCAGTTCTTTCTGGATTTGAGGCCAGCTCTCTTTCCACTAAGCCCCCTGTTCATGTGTTATGGTTTGAGAAGCACCAGAAAAAGACTTTCAGTTTAAAATAATCTTACCAGATTATTTTACCAGATAATCTTAATACTATTACCTCATAGATTACTTGGCCAATCCTAGATCCCTCCCACGGTCTTTCTGTATATAAGGGCCATCTTGCCTCCATTAAGATGCTTAGATTCTTAGAATCTAGCCACTGCTTACCCAGGTTTTAGACTCCTTCAGAGTCTGCCCAATATGACAAATGTTGTAATAAATCTTGTCTTTGGCTGAAAGAGGCTTGGGTCAAATTCTTTCAGGCAGAATCTGTGTGTTGTGATTTTGGGGTCCCAGCATCCCTGAACCCCTAAACTGCATCATTCCCACTGGCAAGACGAGTTAGGTGACAAAATGACTAGTTCATATTGGCAGATAACTTGGTAGAAAACTTTAGCTGCAACCATGTTGATAACCTGCTATCTATGAGAGCAGCTATGGCAGCCCCACCTACATCTTGGTCTTAACAATAATTCATAGGCCCAGGAGACTTTAACCTGGGATAGATTTCAGGGGGTCCATGAACTTGAATGGGGAAAAAACATCTTATATCTTTATTTCAATACCATTGGTTTTTGTTTGTTTTGTTTTGTTTTTGTATTTTACTTTATGCATTTAAAAACAGTATTCTAAGAAGGTATCCATAGTCTTTACCAGACTACCAAGGGCCTGGGACACAGAAAAGATGTAAAGAATCCCTGGGTATACTAGTATCACTGTGTCAGCATTGCTGCTGCTATTTTGGGTTCAGGCATTGGGTTCACATACCAGCTAGGAAGCCTTCTCTTGTAGTGGGACCTTTAACTTGCCTCCACATTGCTCTACTGAAGTAGTTCTCAAACTTTTATTGTTGTTCATAGCTCTGCATTATTTCTGGCCATAAGGAATTGAAGCATATCACGGGAGAATCAGTGACTCCAGTCTTATGAATGGAATTACAAGTGTAAATTTCATTCAAATTGAGTGAGGCTCTTGCATGTTCATGCAATTCTAAGTGTAAGTGCCATGTCATTGGAAACTCACAGAGCAACAACTCATGGCATAGTGCCTAGCATACTCTTTGAGAACCAGTATCCTAGGGAGTGGAAGGAAGCAGGTAAATCAACTCAAGTTATCCTTAGTATTTTTTTTTTCTTGCCTTAAGTTTGACTAATCCTCTTGTTTGTCTCTCAGGGGAAATTGACCTTCAAATTATTTCTCAAGTTCAAGCTCACTATCCAGGAAGTCACATCAACAATGAAGTAGTTGAACCAAATGCTGAACAAATCGCCAAATACAAAGGTATAGCATTTTATCCAGTTAAGAACAAATAGAACTGGGTGAAGAACTAGAAAATTTGAAAGAGGGCAGGCTGTCAAGCAAAAATAACTTTCATCAGAATGACCATCTACAAACTTTTATTTTTAAACTTTCTCTTTTCTGGTTTCTCCTCCTCCTGCTGCACCTCCCTTCACTTCCCCTTCCTCACCTTTTCCCCTTATTCTCTCTAGGAAGCAGATCCATAACTTATTGCCTTACCTTAATGTTGCCTGCTGCACTGAGATGTTAAGTGACTTGCCCAAGGTCATGCAGCAAAAGCAGGATTTGAAGCCAGTTTTCCTGGTTCTAAATCCTTTTCTCTATATCTACTATGTGATGCTTCCCTACATCCCCTTAATCATTTGCAGTATGGCTTTTGTGATTGTTCTGCTCTAAGGCTATTAGGAGAGAAGCCAAATTAAGTCTGCTTCCTGGTGAGCTAAAGTCCCAGGAAAACTAAGCAATAGATAGTAAAACCTCTAAGTGTTGTTTATTTACAAGAATCTTCAACCCTATCCAATTCTTCCCTATTCCTCTATCATGAGCCATTTCATCTTATGTAATTGTCTAATCTAAGGTGTGTTCAACTGTGTCCCCTGTATCAAATAGATTGACTTTTTATTGATAAGATTCACCAATTTGTTTTGCTTGACTATGCATATTAGTTACAAAGAATTTGTTTTTCTGTTTCTCTTTTTTTTTCCCCCAATGGGGTAGAGGGTTGGAAAGACAGAAAATTGATTCCTGTTCATTAAAAAGACAATTAAAAATAAAGAGGTAGGGAGGTAGTACAGATGTGTAATTTTGAATGCACTTTCAGATGAAGTCACTGTATTGGTGGCTTTGCTTAGCTGTTTTACTTCCTTATAAGAAACCTCTCTGGGGATAATCTGTAAATATTTGTAATGCAAAAACAAAACACATAAATAAAATTTAAAAAAAAGAAGTAAATAAAAGATTCATCCGAGGAAATAGCAATCTTCACCTGGCCATGACGCCCATCATTGTTTCTTGTTATCTCTTTCTTTGTGCCCTTAATTTAGTTTAATATTATAAAAAAAAAATCTGATGAGATCAATGGCCTTCAGGACTGATATAAAAAAGAAAAATGTACTTTATACCTGTTATGTATGTAACTTTGATTACATTAAAATTCTAAATGAAAATGGATTCCACATTTGCAATTGAAATTGACAGTGTGCTTCCTTCTCTCTGTATTTTAGAGCGTGTAGCCACAGCATCAAACCTCAAGAACATAAAGTTTGCTTGGCATCAGGAGACATCATCTGAATATCAAAATAGAATAACGGAGAAAAAAGAGCTTCAGAAATGGAACTTTATTCACATGATTCAGGTACAGATCTATTTATGATAATATGCTGTCAAATGGAAGATTTTTTTTATCAGAAATATATATGGAGAACAAGGAATACTCCAACCCTTAGAACAGTGAAATTCTTCTGAGACTTAATTTTACCAGTGACCTTAATCTACTCTAATTGAAGACAAAAGTCTTGATGATTCCAAGCATTTTCCCTCAAGTTCAGTAGTTGTGTTATTATTATATTTATTATATATATATATATTATATTTTTCTTTGGGAAGTTGTTTGGATGTTTCTGTTCTCTTGGGTGATTGTCTCCCTTATGTCTCTAGTCATTTGCTGAAAGCCCTTGTTAGGTTTAAGGAATGCTATGTATCCTTCAGGTAAAGGTGTTTCAGCTGTTCTCATTATCTGGGTAATGTGCCCATCTAGACTCTGCTCCTTGGACTCTCTGGCTTATTGTTTGAAGGTTAAGAAAAATCAGTGGAAAGGGCTGCTCCCTGGGCCACCTGGCAAGGGTCCAAGTGACCTCTAAGGTAGTCTAGCCTTCTTGTTAGTTATTGGATTGAACTGTTTTTGCTTTGCTTTGTGTACTAATTTCAACTCAGTCTTTTGGTCATTACCTAGTTGCGCTGAATAGGTCAGAGGACAGCAATTAAGGAGTTCTGAGAAGTAGTTTTCCTATCATTCTTATGCAGTAGTCTTCAAATATGCCTAGGCAGGGTCCCTTCAGAGCAAATTAACTCTTGGACAATCATATCCTAAGGTGTATAATGCTTTGACACTGTCAAAGTGGTGGCAGTTAGCTCTCCCATTGATCAACAAAAAGTTATTCATGTTGAGTGAGCTGGCACATCTTTCCCAATAACCAAGCACATCACCTTGTGCTGGCCCTAAGCCAATTTACTGGAGAATCTGTCAATGGCATCCAAAGCTGTCACTTTTTCCATGATTTAAAGAGGCATCTGTACACAAACAGTTGAGCCAGTGCAAAGGGCTTAATTTTGAAGCAGTGTTCCATGAAATGGAACCTGATTTTATTGTGTTGGTGCCATTTTCTTTTAGAAATACTACAACTTTTAACAGACAGAAAAAAACATGGAATAGGCTCTCTATGCTTGGCTGCTTTACCAATATCTGAGTTGTGTGGTGCAGAGATGAGAATGTGACATTTGGAGTTAGGAAAACTTCAGAGGATGAGCTCAGGATCATGGAAAGTCACTTAAATTCTCTTTGTCTAGGATCCTGTAGTCCTCTGGATTTAGAAGACATTTGAAAGAGAGATATTTGAAGTTTATCTAGTTTAGTCCTCTAGTTTTACAAACAAGGAAATTAAGGCCCACAGAGTTTAAGTGCTTTGTCTGTTGTTGGACAGTACATGCAAATTCTTAATTTGAACCCAGATTCTCTGACTCTAAGTCCAATGTCTTCTACTCTTAAATTACTGTTGCTGTTGCTGCTTCTACTGCTACTACTACTACTACTACTACTACTACTACTACTAGTGCTACTGCTACTACTACTGCTGCTGCTGCTGCTACTACAAGTCATCTTATTCCTCCAATTGCTCCTACTTCTACCACTACTATTCATCTCCTCCTAATCTTCTTCTTTCTCTTTTTTCTCCTCCTCCCCCTACCCCAATTATTATTTTATCTCCTCTTCCTACCACCACTACTACTATTTCTATAGCACTTTAAATTTGCAAAGCAATTTACTGCTTTCCAATATTACCTCATTTTTGTCTTATAGCAACCGAGGGATGGAAGTACTGCTATTATTCACTTTTTCCAGATGAAGAAACTGAGGCAGATGGAGTCATTTAACTAGAGGCTGAGCGACTGCTCGGGGTCATGCAATTCATAGGTGTCTAAGGTTGAATTGGCACTTAAGAATTCCTGACTCTAGGTCTGCTGCTCCATCTACTGTCACCTAGCTGCCTCTATACCACAGTAGCACACTGCTTCGGCTTCCTCATCTGTAAAATGTAGATAGTGAATGTGGTGCCTGAGGTCCCAGCTGCTGGGGAGCTGAAGCTGGTGAGTTACTTGAGTTCAGTAATGCTAAACTGCAGTAAGCCTAAAGCCAAGAAGATGTCTGCACTATGGCTGGAATCAGGATATGGAGAGACTCTAGGAGGAGAGGGTCAACAGGTTATCTAAGGAGAGGACAACTAGCCCAAGTCAAAAAAAATGAATCAGGTTAGTTTCTGTGCTGATTATCAGTATTAGGATCGGCCTGTGGATGACCACTGCACTTCCTGTCTGGATGCAGTAGGAAGACCTAGTCTCAAAAGAAAGGGTTGGGGGAAGGAGCAGAAATAATACTGTAAGATTCAAATGAGGTAATATACAAAAACACTATGTATATATTGTATACATTCAATATAAATGTTAATCATTATCTACTTTGCTGAAGGCATATAAGGGCTTTGGTGGCTTGGAAAAATTTTGCCTCAAGTTGAATAGGTAGTGCCTCCCTACTGAAAATTCCCTTTTGCCTCATACTCCCAGTTCCCATGCAACATTCAGATCTCACCCTTTGCTCTTTTCTTGAACAAAAACTACGTACACCTTAGAAACCAAACTCCATAGTGAACATTTTGTTCCAAGAAACGAAAAGATAGACTGTTGGTTGTTATAGTCTGATGGCTTTGTTTTCACATTTTTCCTTTTTCTTATTTCTAGATGCTGTATTATGTAAAAGATATCCCAGATACTCTGAAATTTTTCCACAGTCTCCTGGATACCAAGGGCAAGATTCTTATTATTCTTGTGTCAGGTAGGTTATTCTCATTCCAACCTGAATTGAAAAGTACGAATAGGTGAATATGCATGTATATGTGTGGGAATGGCTTATATAATTTAGATTCAGCCTAAATTGCATGAAAATGGCTTTTGCAGGACAGTTAGTGGATCTTAAGGGAATTGGGAGTGCCATTCATTGCAGGTCTTAATTTGAGAGCTCTCCAGTGGGCTAAAAATCTGCATTTCCCATGTGGAACCAATTCGAATGTTTGGCTTTAGTTTGAGAACTCTTCACAAGACTGCTGAACAAACAAGGCAGAGTGGAGCTATTTTACTATGTGCACAAAAAGATGAGACTCTCATCTTTACCTACTCCTTTGACTAAATGCAGGCATTGAATAGGTACTTAGAAGAAAAGGGGAGAATGTGGTATAGTGAGAAAAATACTTGATCTAGAGTCAGGAGAGACTTGGGTTTGAATTCTGCCTCTAACACCCACAAATTATGTGACTTTGGGAAAGTTAGTTAACCACTACATTTCTTCATCTAATGAATGTCAAATTAAGATGTGGAATAATTCCTAGTACTTAACTCATAAACTGTTGTAAGAATTAAATGAGATAATGTATATAAAGCACTTTATAAACCATCAGACACAATATAAATACTAGTTATTGTTATACCCTTAAAAATTTCAAATGGCTGAAGAATCCATCTAAGTATGCATATCTGTACTCTTAACATATATGTGAGAGACAACATGGTGTTTGGGATGGAGAACTCTCCTCAGAACCAGGAAGACCTGAGCTCATTTCCCACCTCTGGCACATATAGGCAGTGTGACCCTAGACAAGTCTCTTAACCTCGAGGTGCTTTAAGCAACTCTTTAAGCCAATAAGTCACAGAGAAGGTGCTGACTTTCATTAGCAAAAGACATTTTCTCATCTGAGAGTTCCTTGTAATGATGAAATCACAGGTCTGGACCCTATTTTTAGCCGTCATAGATGCAATTTCATGTGGAAATGCTAGCATAGAAATGTAGTAAAAGAAAACTTAAATGGGAATAGTATTCTACTGGAGTGCTAGCACATCTTTTGGTCACTTGTTTCCTGGCTACCTACATCTAGTTAAGTGAGTAGACAAGGTACAAAGAGAAAGTGAACATGAAAAAAAAAAAGTGCTTAGAAAGGGAAGTATTGATTCTGCAAATGTCTTACTAGATATATTTGTATGTGTGTATGTATGTATATGTATATATACATATATACACACGGACTCACATATGTGTGTAAAGGTATAAACTTCCAGGTAGAAAGTCTCTGAAATACCTCAAGTGTCATGTGCAAGATGACCAGGAATCTCAATTTTCAGTGATGCATAGTACTTTGCCTCCACTCACATCCTCTTTGAAGCCCCAGCATGATGGGGAGAGAGAGGACCTGGAATTCTGTCAACAGAAGATAGGCCCTGATTGGTACTGCTAAGCTGGAAAGGCTTCAAAATTACCACGTGAGCATCAGACTGTCTAAATTGTGATAGGCTTATCACTAGGTTGATCATAATATGAAGAATTTTTTGGCAATAGAAACTCTTAAAGACCTTTTACTAAATTGTTGTAATCTGGGTCATTGGAGGGAGTACTCACAGTAATAAAATTGATACTTAGAGTGAACCCTTCAGAAGAGGGAAGGTGGGGGATGAGAGACAGGAGGGGGGAGAGAGAGAGAGAGAGAGAGAGAGAGAGAGAGAGAGAGAGAGAGAGAGAGAACGAACTTATGTGAAGAGCTGGGGATACAAATACAATCAAACAAGGCAGTCCTTACCCTCAAGAAACTTATATTCTGAAGGGTAAAGACAATTCATAAAGGGAAGTTAGAAGGGGGCTTCAGAAGAGGCAAGGCAGCTAACAAGGAGCTGGAGAAGAGGTAGAAGAGAACAGAGCATGAATCAGTGTGTGTAGGTGATGTATGGCTGGGACTTTTCTTGAAATAATAGTTACAGGGAAGGAGTCACCAGTCAAGAGAGTGGAATCTCAAGGTGGAGGTTTCTCCAGGGTAGAAAGGCAGCTGACAAAGAGGGAGGGGGGAGGAGGGGAAAGAGTATAGGTAGGAATATGCAGGGAGAAAGAGGAGGAGAATTCTAAGCAGTTGGTGAGGTACTGAGAAAACGATGCTGACTGGAATTGTTTTACTGCTTGTATATAAATTTAGTTTTAAGTTTTGCATACTATTCTTCAGCCTCTCTGAATGTCGAAGGCTGAGGTGAGAAGGACTTGGAAGACATCTAGGAGAAAAAAGGATAACTTTCATAGATTCTGCCAGTAGTCCTTGAAAGTTTGGTTTTGCTGTCATGTGGGGAAACATGTGAACACTCAATATTTTGTGCTGCCCTTCTTTCAGTGAGTGAAATTGGGTATATTCAGAATGAGGAACCTCTTATATTTTTGGTCTGGGCATATGATTTTACTTGTGTAGGGAACTCTTGCAACTTCCTCTACCAATGCAAACTATTGTTAACCCTTCTGCTATTACTCTTTTAAAGCATTGTTTCCTGGGAGCACTGAGACAATAAGTGACTTGACTAAGGTCACATAGCCAGTATTCATCATAGGTTAGACTTAAACCCAGGCCATCCTGATTCTGAAGCCAGCTCTCTATCCATTATAGAATACTGCTTCTTAAATAGTCTCTTACGCATTTGAAATATTCAGCTATGAAAAATCAGATTTACTCTAAATTGAGTTATCAGGTAGTTTTTGTTGTAGTATTCCCATTTTTTTTTAAAAAGCCCTTTATTGGACATTTTCCTTCTCATTAAATAATTACTCAGACAACTCTATGTATCATCTCTACCTTCCTAATTATATTTCATCCATTAATAATAACTAATATTAAAATTAACTTGCATTTTTTGTAGTCTGGGCAACAGCAGAAGGCTTTCTAGGAATATATCTGTCAGGAAGAGGAAGCTAGGCTTAGATACAAAATTTGGCAGAGAAAACCCACATGCAAATAACAGAAAGTCGTCTTCACTAAGTGTTCCCATGAGCGTAGTACTCTTTTTTTATGAACAAATTAATAAATATGTGTTCTACCAGAAACACAATTTACAATAACAACATCGTAAAGACAAGTTGGAAAGACTTAAGAACTATGACCAAAGCAATGACCAAGAACAATTCCAGAGTATCCATGATAAAGCAAGCATGCTATTCACCTCTTCACAGAGAGGTGATGGATTCTTTTCTCCAAGCAAATGTATTCTTCAACAATAAAATAGTTTCCATTTAACTTAGAATTATGTCAAAACCCAATTAATATGGAATTATATTTTAATCCTATTAATTTTATAATTAATAGAAATAATTCAAATTAATGTAAGCTAAAATAAAAAATAAATTAAGCACATTGATCAAATAAGTAGTATTTATAAAATATATAAACTTATATCCACATGTATGTATGTATGTATGTATGTATGTATGTATGTATGTATGCATATGTACTATATTCCTGCTCCTAAGAAATAGCTTGCAGTCAGGAAGACCCTAGGCTCAAGTCTTACTTCTGCTACGTGCCAGTTGTGTGGCTCTGAACAAATCATGTCATCTTCCACTATTCCTAGATAAACTCTAAGACTACAAGTAGCAGTTAATGTCTCTCACTGTGAGTTTTCTGCACCAATGAAAACAAAAGTCTGGACTAATTACAGTGGAATATTCAGGCAAAGCAGATCAATTACTCTTCAATAAACCAAAAATTTCCTATTTGAGGGTTATTTATTGAATATAGTTGAGTGTCAGTGCCATTTTGATCAATAACCCTACTATATTCCAGGCACTGTGATAGATAATAGGCATATAAAGAAAAAAGTGAAATAAGCATTGCCCTCAAAGAGCTTACAGTCTAATTGAGGAATACAACATATAAATACATAGTCACATACACAATAAGGACTAGATAATTTGGGGGGAGTAGGCACTAGCAGCTGGGGAGATCAAGAAATGCTTAATGTGTGAGATGGCATTTATGCCGAACATTGAAGGAAGCTAGAAGTTCTAAAAGGGGTGAGGGTGGAGTGCATTCTAGGCATGGAAAACTCACTGCAAATAACAGTTTGAGTAGACTATGATGTAATGTGAAGGAAATAGTATGTGATAAAGTTGGAAAGGTGGGATAGTGGTAAAGGACTTTAAATTTCTGAGCAGTTTGTATTTTATCCTGCAGGGAGCTATGTAAAGTATATTGAGTGAGGTAGTGACATCATAAGTCCTATGCATAAGGAAAAATCACTTCAGCAGTTATGTGGAGAAAGAATTGAATTGTGAAGAAACTTGAGACTGGAAGATCTGATAGAGAGGATGCTTTTAAACTAGTCTCAGAAATGTAAGTGGAGAGAAGGGATGAACATGAGAGATATCATAGAGGTTAAAATTAAAGGCAACTAAGTGGTACAGTGGATAGAGAGCTGTATGTGGGGTTAGAAAGACCCAAGTTCAAATTTGACCACAGACATTTACTAGCTCTGTGACCCTGGACAAGTCACTTAACCTGTTTTCCTCAGTTTCTTCATCTGAAAAAGAGGGATAATAGCAGCAACTATCTCCCAAGATTGTTGTGAGAATAAAATAAAATAATATCTATAAAGTGCCTTGCTAACTATAAAGCCCTAAATAAATGCAGGTTGTTGTTATTATGACAAGACTTAGAATAGATAGGATATATGGAGTGAGTGAGAGTGAGTTGAGGAAGGACCAAGTTCCTTCATATTCTGTGGATCCAGACTTTTATACAAAACTTAAAGACAGTTTTTAAAATCCAGTGCAGGGCACTTTTTTTCCCCCATATTCACATGTGTTGTCACTAACCAGCTGTGGCTGCAATTCATTTATTTCTATGCACTATGTGGTATGTAACTCTTGTAGTTGATTATCAGGGAGATAATTGCATACCAAAAGGAAATGGTTCCTTGGCTGTATCTATCCTTTTTCTCAAAAGCTGTCCTGAGAGCGTCCTCTCTTTCAAAATAGATATT